AATTTTACATTGAAAGCAGAGTTTATTATTAGTTTGAATGAGTAAACTCTGCTTTCAATGTGAAATTATTTATCAATAGTCATTCATTTTTATTCATCGATTGATCTTTTTATATATTATAAACTCAAATGTTCACAATTTATAATATTAAAATGTGTTCATATATTTAATTATTATTATAAAAAATTAATTACAAAAAACATAAAATCATTAAAAATTAACAAGCATCTTATATAAAACTTTGCATTGCAACTTTAAAGCATGAAATTATTTTTAATAAAATTGCTTTATCATTAATAAAGTATATGGACAAATATTTTTTAAATATCAATACACAATTCCAAATTAACATGTAGAATTATTTTATTAATTTTTATTTCTTTTTAAATATTTATTAAATTATTAATTTTTAAAAATAAATAGCTTACTCACTGTTTTATAAAATATTTTACATTTGTATTGAATCATATTAGTAAAATCAATACAGTACTAGCACAATTCTACAGTATATGATATGATATCCATTTTATGAAACACAACATAATGTCTATTAAATATAACTTCGAGGGAAAGGTAGTCCTAATCACGGGCTCGAGTTCAGGCATCGGCGCCGCCACTGCCCTACTGTTTGCCGAAGCGGTGCCCGAGTAGTGGTCAGTGGTCTCAATGGGGACGACATCTCAAGCGTAGCGCACGAGTGCTCACAGGTGTCGCCCATGGCTTACAAACCGCTGGAAGTCGTGACAGACTTCCGCATAGAGGGAGACATTGAACGACTGGTCGACACCACTGTCCACACGTTCGGACGGTTAGACATTTTGGTCAATAATGCCGGTGTTTTTGACATGACTGACATAACAGACCCGGGTTACATCACAAATTATAACAAGGTAATTGATGTAAACCTCTATTCTGTGGTACTATTGACACAATTATCGGTCAAACATTTGGCGCAAACTAATGGCAATATAATTAACATATCGAGTGTAGAGGGCGTGCAGTGCGTGAGTACAGGACTTATAGTAATTTAAACCTAAATGAGATTTTTTTAAAAATAACAAGGTCATAAATCGTTCGGCATATTGTATGTCAAAATCAGCAGTAATTATGTTCACTAAGTGTATGGCCGTTGAGTTGGGAGGGAAAGGCATTCGTGTCAACTCTATTAGGCATGCATTTCTCACTTAATCGGAATGTCTCTTTTTAAAAGTTAATAAATATATTTAAATTAGTATCGATATATTTTATAACTATAGCTTAAAAAGAATATCGCAAAATAAAATTCCACTAGAACCTGAATATTCTGTACACTCCAATTATATCCATCATATTGCTAGGGCTGCCACCCGTCCTCCAATTGGAGGATTGTCCTCCAATCGGCCCCTCAAAACACAGTCCTCCCGAGGGTCTCAGGAGGACAATGTAATGTCCTCCCAGAGATAATTGCTAAAATAACTTAAATATTAATTTGATTCTTAGTTAAATTTGAAAATATATTTAATATTACTTTTGATGTGAATATAAAATATTTATAAAAACAATAGTTTCTTATACTATTATGAGTACAGAAGACAAAATTATAAATTAATATTTGGTTGTCCTCCCAATGTCCTCCTGACCTGTCTCAATTTTGGCAATTTGTCCTCCCGGGCTCTGAAAATAGGTGGCAGCCCTACATATAGCTTATATTGTAAATGGCATATATTGTATAAACACAAAAATTCCTATAGTATTAAATACAGTAGATGTTAATATTACTAACAAAGTTTAAACTTATTTCAAATTATTAACATACAAACATGAATCAGTGAACATCAATAAATTCAATTTAAATATTAGAAATAAGTTTATTGTATTTATTATCAAAAATATACAAAAATATCTGTTTTGTAAATGATAAGAATTGGAGTTTACAGAATATTCAGGTTCTAGTGGAATTTTATTTTGCGATATTCTTTTTAAGCTATAATTATAAAATATATCGATACTAATTTAAATATATTTATTAACTTTTAAAAAGAGACATTCCGATTTAAATATAAATATCCACTAATTTTTGCATCTCATTGCCTACCAGTCCCGGGTCGGTGCGCACCCGTATGGCACAGAATAGCGGTATTAGCGATGAAGTACTCCGTAAGACATTCGGTACACTAATCAGTAAATACCCGGTCGGCCGGTGCGGTGAAGGGACAGACATTGCAAACGCTGTGGCCTTTCTAGCCAGTGACCATGCTAGTTTTGTGACCGGTAGTAATCTGGTGGTTGATGGTGGACATTTGGCTGCTGGACTATAAGTTGAATGAAGTGATCAATGTCAGTTAACAAGGATTAATATTGTATAACAGTTGCCTTAATAAAGTAATTTAAAAAAATTTTTAAGACTTTTTGTTTCAATATATTTATTGAATATCAGCGAAAAGAAGTTAAAAATAAAATTAAGAAATAGCCGAACGTTTTCGGTCTACACTGTGACCATCACCAGGGCTTAAGATGTTAAAGAGATAATTGAAATGATAGTCGTTTTAACTAATGTTTGAAATTATGAGATCTCGCGAAACGAAATAATTGTTAAATTAAAAAGTTATGAAACTTTTTAAAAAAATCTATGCCAAACATAAGGAATGGTTTCCCCATTGTTTCTATTCATGAAATCATTTTGTCTCACTTTTCGTATTTCAATCGCTTCATTGAATTTGCGGACAAAGTCTTTGTCGCAACTCTTTATGACCCGAGCGTTGGTCCAATCGATGGTATGATTCGAGTCAACGATGTGTTCAGCGATGGGAGAGATGTTTGTCTTCTTATAATCGACAGCTTTCTGGTCTTTAATTTAAAATTTTAATATAATTTATTAGTATTAAGTTTTTTATAAAATATATAAAAATTGTATACTTGTTGAAATAATCCAGATTTGTATTTAATTTCTTAGCAAAGTAAATTTTAAATGCTGTAGATAAAATTCAAATTTAAATAAATCCCTTTTTTAAACAAAATCAAGAAAATAAGTTTAAAGTGTTAGCACAGGTGTAGGAAATATTACAAACTTTGCAAATATTAACACAATTTACAGACATATTAAACAAAACTTGTTAATAAATATAAAGTGCAAAGGGGTGATTCACATATTACGTTCGCACTTTTTGGGAAATTTTAACCCCCTCCCCCCTTATGTTCGCAATTGTTCGCATGTCGTCATGTTCAATTAAAATTACGAATTACGTTCGCATGTGCTTAACCCCCCTCCCTCCCCTAAGAAATCAAATTCAATTAAATTTATAAATAATTTATTTAAAATTAAACTAATCAGTTAAATCATAAACATAGTATAGATAATAATTTTAAGAATAGTGCTCTAGGTGGTCATGTTGTCGGCGATAGGTATGATTTCAGTTGTGATACTTGTGATGTTTTAAAAAATCATTTTCACTTTCAAAATATCGTTCACGTTCATAAACTAGAAATAATTTCATTCAAAGTTCATTTATTCATTCAAAGTTATCAAACAGTTGTTTTTAAAATATTCGCCTTGATAAAAATTAGTCTTTAATTATTTAAGTGCGAACGTTCTTAAAGTCTCAACCCCCTCCCCCCTCTCGTTCGCAAAAGTTCGCTTTGGCCGACCCC